AACCAGTTATCAAGTAAACTTTGAAACCAATGTATAACAATATTATATAGGTACGCTTTTTTGAGTAAGTACTTAATAAAAATTAGTAATTAAACTTTTAAAATATGTACATAAATTGATTACGCGTATAATTATTATTATTGGCATTAAATAACGTGAAAATTACAATTTTTTTTTTTTACTTGAAGTTTTATAAATTTTTACAGTTATGGAAATCTAATAAAGCAGGACAATAATTCTCCAAAATCGTAATTCAAAAGTATCCGATGGAAAAAGTAGTGATTGACGGGGACAAACACTGTATACAGCCTCTGTGATGACCGCGGCTGATATCGTCATAACTCATCACGTTTAAACGTGTTGAAAAATTTGGATCAAAAGTCGTTTTCGGGACTAAACCATGGTTAGTCTGGGTAATGCCTAGAACTGCTTATTTTCGTTTCCACCCTATCGTCGTTTAATAAGAAGTTAAAGTTTGTTTTTAAATCAATTAATTATGGTTTTGTAAGCCTGGCGTCGACTCATTCGAACCGATAACACTATACAAAAGGGGTTGTCAATGAAAAGTCCTATAGTAAGAGCGATCAGCACGGTGGTTGTTGTGAGAAATTATAGTATTTATAATCATTGTAATAATGTATAATCAATAATTAGGTACATATGTATAACTTCATAACTAATAGTATATATATTATATGCGATTGCGAGTATGTCGATTTAGGCCGTATCGTAAAAAATGGGATTAGGGTTTAGATTTAATTAGTATAGTGTTGCAAGCTTAATATTGAAAATATTTGTTATTATTATTATTATGACGATGATAATTATGATGATGATAATGATTGATTGTGAATACTTTTGACCTATACGAGGAAAAAAGTAATGCAATAACGCTCGGCGTGGTATTTAATATCAATAATGTTTCCGACAGACTGTATCAAAGTACCCTGTAATCCGTTTTTTCCCACACGAAAAAGTACCAAAAAAAAAATTTTGTTTGCGTTGCGCGATCTTAGAGTTAGACCTATAGCCATTTTTAAAAACGGAACAAAATCAAAAAAATCCTTAGCTCGATTACACCGTTACATACATGCGCTCGTATTGTAAACTTTGCCTGGAAATGCAGCTGTTAAAGTCGTACCTACTATTTTAGAATATTATTGTAATTATTTTCATAATTAATAAAAAAAATCTAAACGACGATGGACGACTGTATGTAAAATATAGTTGAAAAGGATGGTGGTTCTTTTCGATGACGTTTCGACGGCCTAAATCGATGCGCTTTTTCATAAAATATATTATTATTATTATTGTTGTACAACGACTACCGTACACCTAGCTATTGTATGATGTTATTAAATAATATTATTTTGACGTTTTGTTGCTGAACGTTTTTGACGGGTGAAATGTTATGCGCCATTGCTTGGTTAAAACGCGGTAATACCTACAGATATACATGTCGTGCCGTACGAACAGAGAATAATATATCATATTATTATTATTATTATTATTATTATTATTGATTGACTTAAAGTTATCGATTATGGAATACGCTAGTCCATCGAAAACGGCGGTCAACCCTCCCTCCAAGCTCTATTTTCACAAATATAATGATTAGGTACCTCCCCCACCATAGAAACGATAATAATAATAATAATAATAATAATATTAATAACAATGATTATTATATTATTTATTATACACAAATCTATCCTTAAAAGAGTCCTATTGATTTTGGTCCTGACTTCATACTCGTCGAACAGGTGCGAATCGATCGACAGAATAATATAATAACAATATTATTTATTATTATGTCCTTGTCGAGTTACCTACAATTATTCCGACATTACAGGAGCAAAACAATTTTTGATTGACAATTATTTTGATTTTTCCAAAATATGTCTGTTTAAACGGATTCATCATTATTCTTATTTTTACAGTATACAGTGTGCACGACGGTAAAAATGCTGACGTATTAATTAATACAAAATCGAAAAGAGTTATAATAAATATAATGTGACATCTCTATTGTCACTGTTATTATTATTACTATTATTACTATTATTGTTATTATTATTATTATTATTATTATTATTATTATTATTCAAACGCGGAAGACTCGCGACTAATAATTTATTATATAGGTAATAGACACTACAGGCGATCAAAAATATCATAATAAGACTTTTGCGAGAATTTATAATCGGTACAGATTTTACATTATAAAAAAGGAAAAAAAAGTATTTAAAAAAATGTAATAGCTCTCACATCTCCAACGCGTTATGTTTTCATATAGTTTTCGTATGTTTTTCGGTGGTGGCTTATAAGATAAAAAATAAAATAAATGAAATACGTATAAGAAATATTTTTTTTTTTTAATCCAGTCAAATAAGGCTTATCGGTATGTAGGTACAGTATATATATATATATATATATATAGTATATATAATATATATATAATGTATATATAATATATAGTATTAAAACCCGTACAATTTGAAATAAAACAATTTGAGACGATCCGTTTATTGTATTTTTTTTCCTCACGGCTGTGGATAATAATAATTGCAGTATTATGTATTATATATTATTATATTGGCTCAATATATTATTAGAAAATTATCCCCTCAAAAGAGTGAGATTCCGAGTACAATTTTTATTATCGTTATTAATATTCGCTTAAAAAAATATTATAAATAAACTTGTCGGAGGTAACTTAACGAAGGAAACATCTTAGCTATCACAGCACAGCACCTTATAGGCGTTTGGAGACCTGGACGGCCGCCGGATTGCAATTTGAATACTAGAATTACAAACAACACATCATTATAAGTTAAATCATCATAATTATACAAAATTCGTTAACAAAAAACAAATACAATTATTTATTGTTACAAAACCATTAATAAGCACCTTTCCATATACTAGTTATTGACAAATAATTTTTTTTTAATTTAGACATACAGTTAAAAAACCATAGTCGAATAACATCACGTTATAGCATGATCGAAGAGAACAACATATATTGAGAAAATTATCAATCATCATGGAATCCCTGCAGAGTTTAATTTGTCTTTTAAATTGAATGAATCATATAACATGTTTTACAACAATTAATAATTTGATATAATTTATAATGACTTATGAGTCATTTTAATTTAAAAAACCCAATATAAAAATGTAAGTTTTAAAGTTTTCATGATTTGTTTTGGTGCACGGATAAAACTACGTACTTCATGTATGTTTAAGTGTAAGCACTTAAATGATTATACACTTGTGAGACGACATTTATAGTCACTGTTGATGCTTGTGTATAATTTAATTACATGTTTAATTTGGAGTACTTTTAACACGATACGCGTTATCAATTATAAAATACAAGCAATTATGAGAGACAAAAAATCATATACATTTTACAAGCAATCACGAGTCACTACTGTTCTGGTATTCGAAAAAATACGTATTTTCGATCCCAAAGCGTTTTGGAATGTTTCTGAAGCCTTTCCCAATTTATATTTTTGTTTTGATTGTCGTGTAAAAACTAATGAAAATATATCTTATCAATATATAATAATATTATACCTATACATTCCCGGTGATGCAAAAGTTTTAATTGGTTTCTAAAACAAAAGTTACAAAGTCGTCAGATATAACTTTTAGATATGGCTGGTACCGATACGGAAATTACACGATTGGCGTGTTTCACGATAGCAGTTCATATATTATAAATTATGAGTGTACTATAGAATATTGCAGCAATAAAATGTAGATTATTATAATATTGTATCAATAAGAGTGTCGTGGGGTTCGATAAAAAAAAAATTGCGAAATGGCTCCAAACAGTTTAATGGTAAGAGGTTTCCGAGTAAATAATATTATATTATTATTATAAGTCACATATCGTGTTTAACGAAAATTTTGAATTTTGAAATTCAGCGATTTCACTATAAGTACAATACTCAATATAGGATTTTTATGAACGAGTGTGGATTAGTATTTACATTTTGGGTATAGACAATTGGTGAAGATAGATAGATCCTAGCCAAACAATCGATCGGGATTGAGAACGATCTATATAATATTATGAGAGCATTTTTTTAAATGGATGAAAATATAATATACGGATTGATGCTATACAAGACTAGGTACATGAATCTAAAGGAACAATACGATAAATTACAGTGTGTGCAGATAAAACTTTTTAGTTTCTGAACAAAACTGGGGTATAACTTCAGAGTTATGGTTATATAAGTTATACCTAACAAACGACATTGCGTCGAAAAAAAATGTTCGTGTAGAAAACGAAAACACTGACTCTATACAATATACTGTATATGCAGTTCAGTAACTGCATATTATAATAATGATTTATTAAGGTACCTATGTTAGTATTATATAATATTTAATACAAATTTATTTTGAGGGCATATTAACCAATTGGTTTTATTGATGGGTTATTTTTAAGTTATAACCACATGGACATCCGTTCGAATATGACGAGTAATCGTCGACTATAAGTTCGATATTTTGAATTTAAGTTTACCGCTTGAAATCTAGGTACATAGTTATTTAAACATCAATAGATTCACGGCATTTGGTTTCTTTATGGGTTTGTGTAGGTTAAGAAACGATGAAGATTTTCCCTTGCCGTTTTTTGATACACATTTATTTTATTATTTTTATCACGCGATATTCATGCTGTAGATCAAAAGCTGTGTCGTTTAACGATAGAAAACATATTTGTAGCCGTTAGTTTAATTTATAAGAAGTATCAATTAATGGATTATTGAATTAGAATATTAATGAAATAAGAAATTGGTTCAAAGAAATTTCTTTAGCTTTATTATAATATGGTATATCTCTATGACTCTATATAGTAGGCTCCAAATCGTATCCGTTTCCTCTTAGTTTTATTTACTTTTTTCATATTTTTTTAAGTGTTTTAATGGGTTAATATTGGTATAACTATTTCGCAAGCGTGCTAATACCGCACCTGCTAGTCAGACGTCAGTTTCGACACTGAACCTCTTGATGCTGTTGTTGTTGAGCCTGACCACGGTGGCGCAGCTGTTGAACTTTTTGGGTTGCTGCGGCGGCGGCAACGACAGTGGCGGTTCGTCCAGCTCCGCGTCCAGCAGACAATTGTCGGCCGACTCCAAGTCCATCAGGTCCGACGTCGAGTCGCCGCCCGATGGATATTTCACCATGTGTTGACCTGCGGTGGGCGCGAAACGCAAACGTTATACACAAGAGGAAAAACATCAACGACAAAAAATTGGCTCGAAAACATTACTGGTGCACATATTTTAACATTTGCATATAGTATTATAATAAATTATATAGAAGAGGGGTATTAGAAAGACGTTTATTATCGAGCTTTTTTTCTTTTTCTTTTTTTTTGATTTTAATCGTCTCTGTCTTCGCAAAAGATTCGAAATTCAGACGAGAGTTGTGCGAAAGTTCTATGACTCCCCGTAACCCCTATATATAGATATATATATATTATATATATATATATACATTGCAGACTAGGGTGACCCGTTTCTGTCCAATTTCGAGAACAGTTCAACTATTATTTCGTTTCCGTTTCGTGATGAGAAAAGTTTTTTTTTATATATATTTTCTATAGTAAACGATGTGGTCGCTAGAGCACCGAATAGCATGAAACATATATATAATAATATGTATACTAGTACAAAATCGTGTTCCTGAAATAATAATTAAAATTTTTAAAAGTTATAAGTTATAACATAGTAATGAAAGTTGGTATGATAAATTCGTGTGCGTTGATTTTCAATTCGAAAGGAAGAAAATTAAATTTTTTCCCGTGGCCTCATGCCTAGAATCCAAGGATTTATTACTCAGGTCACCCTACTCTGGACTTAATTATACACTTACAGATCTAATAATTACTATATTAAAATAACGATTGTATATTCAAATTGACTTCTATTTTAAATCAAAATGAGACGACTTAAAATATAAGTGTTACCCCCTCTAAAAAAACAAAAAATCACTACGATAAAAAAATAATTGATTTTTATTGTAAAAACGTTGTGTTACAATCATTATAATGGTACTTCAAAAAGTCCCATGTACCCGAGTATATATATATAAAAAAAAAAACAAATAAAAAATAACAAAAAACAAAAATTGCTCGAGAAAATGTGTATAGTATATGGGTACACGGTGAGTTAAACGGTCTTCTATAACAATAACAACATCAACGACGACAACAACAACAATAATAATAACAATAATAATAACAAAAATAATGATGGTAGGTAATAAATAATAAAAATACAGTGTGTGAATGTAATACATATATAATATTTCAATATTTGTATTATATACAAACCAGTAGTCTTCAACCTTTTTTGACTATCGAGACCGATTTTGGAGATGATAATTTGTTTTTCGACCAATGTTCTAAAGTACGATATTATGATGTTATTTTACTAGTTATTAGTATTTATAGGGTGATTCGCCAACCATGATTACTCCCTTATTTTGTATTTCCTTTTAACAATAAATGTATTCAAATACCTTAAATACTCATCTCTGCTGAATTAGTTTAAGTTTTTTTTATATATACTCCTAAACGATTAATTTATTTTCATTGAACCATATGTTACTGTTAAAAAATAAATAAATATATATTGACTTTTAAGTTTCAAATGTATACAACCAGGGCCACCAAATACGGGCCGTCGGCCCCAAGAAAAAGTATCCATGTGCCTACTATAATTAGAAGTATAATTAGCCACTTTGGATATCACTAGAAATGATAATAATTAAAAATGTGAAACATTCCTATCAAAATGAACAGTTTTTTTTACCGTGGAATTATAGTTATACATTTTTCTGTATTTTCAGGTATATAACCACCAAGCCGATAACTCACGTATTTTATTTAATTGACAATATAACGTTATAGTACGTCCATATCAGTGAAAAGGGTTGAATGGTATAAAAATCTAAATATTCGAAAATAAGGCCCTCAAGTAAACTTACAAAATATTCCAAGAATAATAATTTGAATAAAATAAAGGGGAATAGGGGACTGAGTGTGTATATAAAATGTACCGTTACTATATATTTTACTATAATGACAATACGTTTGACTAGGACTATATTATTATATCGATTGGAATACGCTCGAATAAATAAAAATTGCATTTTGCATATTATGTAGTCAAACCCTACACGATTCGTGTCCAGGTATTTTTAGGTTTTGTTTTATTATTAGGTATTCATTTTGTCAGCTGCGCAACTTAACATCATAATACCCATGTATTATTATTACGGTCTTTGCATTTTTGAATTTGTTTTAATCTAATCGCGACCCACTGCAGGTTGAAGACCATCACTGTACGTCCGTGCTACTATACAACACACGGACCGTATAAAATAATATTGTTTATATATATATATATATATATATATATATAGAAGCAGTGGGTATAGGTAATTAATATTAAGTGCGCGTATAATATTTAAATCGTACGCGGACGTCGAGCGCGCCGTGACTCGGGCGGAAGCGACGGCGCGTCGATTGACAGCTCTCGCCTCGGATACCCACCTAAAGTACCGGGAAGATAAGGACAGCTGGTGACGTGGTTGAAGTTCTGCGATTGCATGTCTTCTTGGTCAGTCTCTCTGTGATAGAAATAGTTGAAGTTGGACACGATGACGGGCACGGGCAGTGCGATTGTGAGCACGCCGGCAATCGCACACAGCGAACCGACAATTTTCCCCCACACGCCCACTGGTCTGAAACACATTCGAATATGTCACATGTCGACGTGTTCCGGCGAGCGTATAACAATATATTAGGTATAATCATATTATAATGTATGGTAATATAATGGCTAGCGGAGGATTGCGTGGCGGTGGTATTTTTTTTTTTCGGTCGTTTTTTGTATGATACATTTTATCGTTTCTATTAACGGTAATATGATAATATGTATATATATTAGAAAAAAACATAACAAATGGAAAACGAACGAAAACGCACAAAACGCAGGTGTAAAACACTAAAACAAAATTCCAAAACATCTAAATCGTTATATATTATAATATAATAATATATACCTACGTATTAACATGCTTTTACGAAACACACTCATAATATAAAATATTATATAATATTAATATATTATAATATTGTGTAATGTTTGTGTCTGTATAATTTACTGTACGGCACACGTATACGCATAAACACGTGAATGCGGGGTGGTTATTTAACCGGTGGCCACGCTTGAATTAGCGGATTGAAATGGCAAGGGGCACCTATCCAATCTGCCACTATAAATGCTCGTCATTTATATAAAAAAAAAACTGTTTATTCAATGTCCGATATTAATACATCGAAATAATAAACTACAAATCATTAAAATGTCCGGAAAAGTATAGGTACAGCTGCTTTCGATTGTGAAATAAAAATAATAGATTGTTGTTAAAAAAATTTTTTGATAATACGCAACGGTTAAAAGTAGTACAACTTTAGATTTTTTTGTGTAATAATAATACACGCAAATCGACTGAAGAAAAAAATTAGTGATGCCTGTCGAAATAGGTAAATTTTAAATTTCTAGTTTGGTGGATGATAGATATAATATAACATTGTAATAATTAATAATATCCGTTTCGATGTCCCACCAACTTCTGGATCACCCGATAAACGGGTATATGATATAATATATAAATACTAGGAAGTATTTATGAATTATAATCAATGGTATAATATAATATTATATTAATATGTATATGCGTATGGGCACTGATCTAGAAAATTCTTTGTTTTTGATTGGAATTCACGATCATATTATTCTTGGACTCATATAAAGCTTGTACAGTAAGTTATATTTGTACGGACAAACGAAAACGGAAAACCAAAACAACAAACGGTCATCACAATGTTGCACACGCACAGTCGAAATCATTATTTATTTTTCAAACATGATATTGTTATACTGGGTGATTTTATGATCGCAGAACACTTCAGGACGTTCCTTGAGCAGGTTTAACCATCTAGTCTGGGTTAGGTTCAAAAACGTCAATTCATTTTTGAATGGTTGGAGTCAAAATGTTTGCAGAGATTTTTAATTTATCTTGTCGATTTACAAACAACCAAATACAATTATTGAAATGTTAATTTTATTTTTTAAATATTCAATACTGACTTAAATACAGATTTATAACTCATTTTGGCGTTTTAATTTCACTTTTGTCAAATAAGATGTTTTGCAATAAATAGATGCAACGCACACCCGCTCCTCAAAACTTCCGCACAATTACGTGCCTGGTAAGATTGGGTTGTTGAGGAATATCGAGTGGTCTGCGATAATAATATAATCGACCTGTATTAAAATATAAATGAAAGCACGCCATGGAAATAATATGTGCCGTATAAAAATTCACAACTTGTGAAGCGTTCGCACAATCGATTTGAGAAAGCCAAAAACATAAACGGGTGTTCGAGCTCGGGAAAATGTGGGTAAGTATCATCCCATGTCCCAGGATTTGTTACGATAACAATGAAGGATTTTCAAAAAAAAAAAAAAAACACACACACGCACACACCACTAGAATAGAATCCCTATCGTGATATTTAGAAAACGACTTTAAAAACAAAATCGTCTTATCAATCACACGGTTCATATAAATATAAATATATATTATATACGAGATTCTTATAGTATAGATATAATGCAATACGATGATCGTATAATTCACACTTATCTTTATACTGTTATATAGATATAGTTGATATATTATTACTTATATAATAATAACATTTATAAAAACATGCAACAACTCTAAACATAATAATATTAACGATTACACTACGGTACCTACGTCAACAATACGAAGTTCAAAAGTAAAAAAATGCATGCACAAACGACTACGAGAAAATGATATTGTTAGGACTAATTAACAGACTAATTATTGTTAGTTGGTAAGTGTAATATATTATGTGGGTAATGAGTTATGTCAAAACTGAAATATGCAACTACAACTCTGCACTTCGTGCTGCTGCAACTATGTTATGTATAACTTCGTATATGTAGTTATAAAAAATTGACTCACAGTCATGTTATGATTTATATATATAAATATATAGTTTTGTCAAGGCTATATGTGTATATGGTAACTATATGTGTTAGGTAGTGAACTGCTGCTGTTACACATAATCTATAAGTCTGCCTATAACAGGTGGTACCTCTAATCGACGGAAAAAAATAATAATAAAACGTAATATCGTATAAAAATTATAAATTATAATGCAATTATTTGGTTCTCTAAACGTTTGATTGCATTTTAATATTAAGTAAGTATTTTAAAGAAAAATAAAACGAGAAACAACGGCAAAAAACAAAACAAAAAAATAAAAAATGATATAGGTGTATATAAAAAAAACTGACATAATAATATTATTTTAAATAATTAGGTATGTATTAATAATAGTATCTATATATTAATATGTTCTCCGATCGAGCTAAACTGAGATACTCTATCGATATTATATGGTTCATCTAAGTCGTACTAATCACGATCGGAGAACTGCAATCGAAACTATATTGTGGCATAATATTATAAAATGTATTTCCTATATTTCACTAAATATGATGTGCACTCGGATGATGATGATAATATTATTATTATACAGATTGGGAAGCTTGGCAAACCCTAATGGAGCGTACAGTGACAAGACGACTATAATTTGTAATAACAATATTGTTTAAGACGAATATAGAATTTTATTGTTCTAAAATATTCTGTATTTGATGTAATCGTCAAACAAAACAAATAATAATAATAACTATCTCCAGGAAACTAAATTTTGTTAAGTTTTTCTAATAAACTATATAATATGATACATCAAAAAACATTTAGTACAATAATATATTATATTATTATGGTTTCGTGTACTGTTTCGTGTGCTTGGAAAGTTTAAAAAAAAAAATGTTTTGTATCTGTATATGGACAACTGCAGATTGTGTAAAACGTTCGCGAATATATTAAACGCCCTGTATATTACCGTACATACGTGATTGTAATAATTATTAAAAAAAATATGTTGTAATATATGATAATAAACGCAAAAATGTGATGAATTTAAGTCTAAAGTATGACGTGTGTTTGCTGGTTATAAGAACATTATGTATAATATTATAGTCGTAACTAATGATCTACGGCAGTTCGAAATTAGTGACAGCTTACACGATAATAATAATAATAACAATATGTTAATGACAAGCTAACGATGTTAAAAAAAAAAAAAAATAAATAATAATAATAATAATAAGTAAAAGATGAACGAACGAATAAAAATACGTTTACGAAAAACACAATGTAATAAAAATATGTCTAATGCGATATTTGTTGCTGTGTTATTATTGTTATTATTATTTTTTTTCTCTGGTAATAAATAAATCGCACTAAAATGTTAAAGAAAAAATAAAATGCAAATAACTATTAGTGAATAAAATTAAAAATATGGAAAAAAATAAATTTCAATAACTGTCTAATTTTGTCTTAATGAAATTGAGTACATCATACGTCATGTCACCATAGCCCACAGTCGTCATGGTAACAACAGCCCACCAGAATGCGTCCGGGATGGACTTGAAGAAGGAATTCTCTGAGCCGGCTTCGGCGAAGTACACCGCGCTCGAGAATAGCACCACACCTGAAATTCATTAGGACTGTGACTTATAAAAAAAAAAATAATAATAATAATAAATAAATAATAATAATAATAATAGTAATAATGACGACGATGAAAACGATAAAATAATAATAATAACCGTCTATAAAAATAAAAAAGACTTATAAACAATAAATGAATAACTCGCGATCCCGATGGCGTGGACGATGACGATGCTATTATATTATGGACGTCCCCCGTCGCAATAGAGAAACATTTTTCGCACAAAAATATTTATAAAACATTGTACATAATACATGACATATTATCATATAATATTATATATAGGACCCCGTGATCACGATGATATATTATATATACTCGTGAATATTATATATAAAGTTTACTCTATATTCGAGAGATATAGTGTTTTGAAACTTTTACTCGATTTTATTACTTATGTCTTTCTCAACGCCCTCCCATTCGTCCAAACAACTCATCTTTTTCTCATCTCCTTGTCTATTTCTATCTCTCCCCACCTCTTTCTATTTCTCTCTCCGTCAGCATGTCTCTTAAAGAATAGTATAGTTCACAGTTATAGTTTTCTCTGAGTATTGTCGAGTACGCGTACGCATGTGTGTGTTTCTGATAAGTCGTGAGTCGATGTTTATACATAGGTCCATGGAGGTAAGTCGTAAAATCGTAAATGTCTGTCATGGAGGTTGTGGTAGTAGTGTATACATATTATTGGTATGCGTATATATCGGTCGTGATGGTATATGGTCGGCGGGTGTCGTATTCCTGGCTGCTCGCAATTATAAGTTACCTCATGTCACCGTATCCGACTGTCGTCATGGTGACCACGGCCCACCAGAACGCGTCCGGGATGGACTTGAAAAACGACTGATCGGAACCCGCCTCGGCGAAGTACACGGTGCTCGAGAACAGCACCACTCCTGGAAAACAACACGCTCAGAGACAAATGGTCGGCGGTCCCCCCCATTTTTTTCAACACCACAATAGTAAAATAATAATAGTAAAATAATAATAATAATAATAATAATAAAACAAAAGTAAAGAAAAACCCCAAAACTATGTAAGTAGTACATTATATACACCGTGATTGCGCCACGAGAGTCAGGCGACTTTAACCGCGCCGCGCCGCGACATCGACGACTTACCCTGCACCGCAGCAGTGTTCGCCGCGTGTTTTATCCACGGTTGGGTATTTTTTTTTCGTCCGAAATTGTTAATTTCCTCACCGAAACCGACTCGAGTGGTGCACTGAAGTTAGCGGGTGTACGGCCGGATCTCCTGAGACCAAATAATACTTAACGACACAGCGCGACTTTCTCTCTCTCTCTCTCTCTCTCTTTCTCTCTGAAAACCCGGCTGTTTCGAATCCAGGAAATTCCCCTCCTCCGCCCTATTTCAATGTAATTAGTTTTATGAATAGGTAAATTGTTTTATATGAACTTGGCTTCTAAATGTTTGAATGTTGGTGGAAACAATTCAGAGATTAAATTGCGTTTCAATTGTTAAATATTCAAATGCAGGTGTGGTTGATTCCATGTAAGGAAAAATAAATATAAATTTAAGCTACTATACAATTTTAAACCAAAAAATATTTAAAAATATTCAAACTCAATTTACAGATAAAAAAAATAGTCAGAAATCAAGAAAATCTATGTACGATTTAAATTTGTTTTTTCAGCATATAATATCATGCTATTATTTTTCTTGTAATTTGGTAATTCAAACCATTTATTTATCAAAAATTATACTTGAAACTTCATACTTTTTTTTTAAATTTTAAATTATTTAATTGTAAAGTGAAATACAACTTTAAAATTTCACCGTTGTTAATTTTAGGTACCTATGTTCTACCAATGTGTCTGTATGGGAACATTTGGAAATTCATTTCCTATATTTTTCTTCGATTAATTCGATTTTTTTCCGACCGTCGCACATAAACCTATATGGCTATATTATATTATATATATTAATAGCACCTATATCTCACAGTGGGTGTAAATTTTCAGTAAAATTCTACTTTCAGTGATAAAGATAACGAAATCGCGAGAGTATAATCATTATCACCGTGTACTCGAAATCATATATGATTCCCAGTCTTGTGGGTTGTATAGCCACCACACGGACGAGTGTCGACTGTCGAGTATATAATAATAGGCACGAATACTTCATTAAATATTATGATAAAATATTGTAATATTATAACAACTTCGTGAATCGGTTTCAAAAATCACTAGGGCGGCGAGGGCGTTTATTTATATATTTGGAATTTTTTTTTCCACCCTAGATCATCAGACATAAATATATTACGTGTACTTATATATGATACACGGCTCCGGCTGTTGACGAAAAACCTGTGAGCGCAGAGAAAAGTGGGCCGTTTTTCTTCAATGAGGTTATTCACAAAAACCCCGGATGGATGACGTCATTCGATCGCTATACTTGGAGGCGGCGCGCGCGGTATCCATGACGACAGGGCCGGTCCGGGCGAGCGCGGCACCGACCCACCATAAACATATTGTATATTTTATAATATTATATACACGGGCGAGCCCCGTCCACCTGGTGGGAAACTGTTACGATAATATAGTTTGAATGAAAATGTTTTAATGCTTTGGCGAACATTTATAAAAGGACAAAAAATCGACACACGGACTGCAGCGGACGGCGTACAAAATATGTGCGTGCGCCATACGGATTGCGGACAGGTGAAATTGGCAGATTCATGGGTCGAATTTTTGTGAGCGCTGCAAGGGTATTATACGTCGATTGAAATGCACTTCGGGGTGCTCGGTGCCCTTCCCCAAACGATCTGAATCCGAAAATGTTATGTTCTCGTGAAAACCCGAAAGACTAGAAATTCAAAAATGGGATCGCTATGCGCGTTCTAAGAAACGATAATGGTTTCAATATTTGAGGTAAAATGGATAGGATTTCATAAAAACGTATGCTATTGTGCGATTGAAATGAAAAAAACACTCTTAAGAAACGATCGTATAGGTAGTGCCGACCGAAATCTCAGTGCATGAAAACGCTAAGAATATTTCGTTGACATATTTTCAATGGCTATTGACATCGGGGATATAACGATAAAGATAATAGACATGTGGGATTTAAGAGTTCGATTAAAAACACAATTTAAAAAAATTTATTAAAACGAATTGCATTTAAATCGTTTTGATTTTAAAATGTATACAAGTAACATATACAGGATGCGGCGTAATAGACTCCCATATTTCCAAGGGGAATTAAAAAAAAAACTATACAAGATATGGAAATTTCTTTTTATTTATTGAAACTACATTGAATAAGGTTTTTTAAAAATTATATCGTCCAAATGATTGCCTTTTCGAGCGACGAACATTTGGAGCCATTCTCGAAAGTTTTCCATTACTCTCGCCCGCATATCAAGTGGAATCCCAGAGATTACTTGACGAATAGCCTCCTTTAGTCCTTCAATGGTTCTAGGTCGATATTTGATAACTTCAGCTTTGAGGTATCCCCATAAAAAATAGTCACATGGGCTCAAATCAGGGGAACGAGGAGGCCATGCAATGTTTTCCCTTAAGGAGATCAGGCGACCAGAAAACATTTCTTGGAAAATATCGCGAGAACAACGGGCCGTATGAGCTGTGGTTCCATCCTATTGAAACCAGAAGGCATCAGTATTTTCATACTCTTCAATTTTCGGTCGTAAAAAGTTTCCCAACGTCTCGAAGTACCGATTGGAAGTCACAGTAACTGAAAAAAATGGCTCCAAATGTGCGTCGCTCGAAAAGGAAATCATTTGGACGATATCATTTTTAAAAAATAACTAAAAAAAACCTTATTTAATGTAGTTTTAATAAATAAAAAAAAATTTACATATCTTGTAGAGTTTTTTTTTATTCACCTCGGAAATGTGGGAGTCCATTACACAGCATCCTGTATTATAATACAGGGAAAATCAAAAGTCTTCATCCGATTTCAAAAATTTATATTTATTTTAAAAATGAAGATAATATAAGGGTGAAATAAAGTAAAATATATTCTTAAAATAGGTAAGTTTTATTAATCATTCAAGCATTAATACATGGGTTGCTAACTAGCGATTAACCGTTGCTGAACTATATCAGTTCGTAATCGGATGGAGACTTTTGAAACACTTTGTATGTTTGTAATTTGTATGTATGTAAACTATTTTATTTATACTAAGAATTCACAAAATAATAGAATAGCAAATAGAATATACATTATTCCTAACATAATATTCTTTTATGCAATTATAGTAACAAGAAGTACAAATTATGATTAATATTATTCTGTTTGTTGAAATTATTATATCGATTTCAAAAATAGTTAGGGTCATAACTAGGTTTAACAAAAGCACTCCGAGATTGAAAGAAGTATCATGCGCCGTTCGTACCCATAGGCCTTAAATAAGTTAAAACCATGTCACAAGTAAAATGTTGTCAAAAACAATAAAAATGAGAAATAATAAAATTTCATATTATATAAACACACTAAGATATAATTCATGTAATCCCCGTGATGATTATATGGATATGAATTTTTTAAAAATCTGTTTACTTAAACCGGTCCAATATGAAATCACACAAATTACAAATCCGACTTCTGGACATCAACGATTGTATTGTGCTTCGAGTTCATAATAATTTAGGGTACATCGCTGAAAGGTTCGGAAAAAAAATCATAATCACCGGGTCCATATGCTCTTCCGACAACGGTCGTTTTTGCGAGCACCTCCCCTCCCATCCAAATCGAGACTAAGGACAAATGGGCACGTCACCGATCACGCACTGAGACCAAATATGATATATATATATTACAGTAGGTATAATAATCGCACTCGCGTTATCGCTACAAGTGCAACATAGAATACGGGACGTGGCGATAATAATAAACGGCTGCTGGTTCCGCTCCACCGACCGGAATCGGTGAAATTGACCGGCCGTCCGTGTGGCGTACAAAGTTTTGTCTCTGGTCGGTCCGACGGAAAACGCAAGCGT